CCGTTGAACTTGATGGGATGGCATAGTGATGTGGATTTCCCATTAACGAGTTAAAATTATTACACATTACTTGAGTTGGTCTGTCAACTTTATCAATTTATTGAGTCAGCCTATAGTGGGAGCATAACGATATACCATGAACCACAAACACTTCAACAAATATCGCATGCATCTGTATATCAGCGTCTGAATATTAATTTTGAGAATCAACCATCATAGCAACATCGTCATCGTTGGAGAGTTCAAACATTGTATAAGTTAACGAAAATACTACAATTGGAAATCTGTACTGAAGTGAGGACAATCTTCTAGTACTTACAACATGAACATTCCTTAAATTTTAGTGATCAGCTCCTCAAGAGTGATGTTTCTCTTGAAAGATATTCTGACAGAATGATTTGATGCAAAGATGACGTCGATTTCATCTTCCCGAATTTATCCACATAGTAAACAATAGCCGAAATACGCATCATTTTGAGAGTTTGAAAGATTGAGAGTCTTATATATGCAAAAACAATAGTTGAGATATGTCTAATTAAATAAATAATGTATGAATTAAAATATAAACTAATCCAAAAAAATTAAAAAACTCACAATAATTTAAATAACACAATTTCATATTGTTATCGTATCAGTAAAATGTCTCGAGGTATGATTACTCTTCTAATTTTACAACCGTAAAAATTAATATAAAATAATTAGTACAATAAAATTTGTTCAAATAATTAAATATAATAAAAATAGTTTTACCTTATAAAAACAATAACAAAATCTGTTTAGTTTGATAGAAGAAATTGATAGAAATGACAATAAGTAAGTAATTTTGATGTGATGATATTTGTATTTAGAGGGGTTGCAATTTATAGGGGAGGGGAGCATTTAAAAACTGAGTTTTCATGCTCGAGTAATAATGGATGCGATCCGAGCCTTTCGTTACGTGACGCCAACTTAAACAGAATCCCACGAATGTGCGACTAACGATCTACACTTTATTACCACATAATGAGAAAATATATTAGATCAATAATATTAGAAGTGAATGGCGTAACAGTTAATTATTGAATTTAAGAGTGATGTTTCGATAAAAACGCCCTCAAAATAATACATAAACTATTTTATCCAAATAAAAAATAAATAAAGCTAGCAACGGACTGGAGCTTATGCCCATCTTTTCAGTAAAGCGAGCCGGTCGCCCTTTCTATTTAATGGGAAAATGTATGGCCTTGACACGTGACTGATTTCCATTCGCTAATTTGTTAGGATTTTGTCTCCCTTGTTTTTTTTTTCTTAAAAAATAATATAGGAATCTGAAAAGGAAAATGATGATCTAAAGATAGTGTCTGTATAGGAATTTCGCTGTGCTGCGGAGCCTAATCTATAGGGCGATGACAAAGTAGATTCATGGCATTTCTGTTCAACAATTTTCGATGACCATTTTCTTCTTTACCATCAATCACGTACTAATAGATTTAAAATATTTTTTAAAATGCACACATATAAATTAATAATAAATCCTTTTAGATGAGTGTATACAATAAAATTAAAATGTTAAATAAAATTTTAAGATAAATATTATTAATAAAATAAAAAATTCATTGAAAAAATTAAATTTTATGGTAAACAGTTTACCATAAACAATCGTATCATATTAGGTCAAAACTTAATAGTATTATATAGAATTAAATGAACTTTATACAATGTCATAAACATTAACGATTAATGTTTTAGTAATTTAATCGGTACGGTCTTCCCTCGAATATATTATTGCCATCGATGCTCTGCCATTCCCTTGGCTAAAATATTATTTTATATATAAACTATAGCTATGTCAAAACACTGTTAAACAACGCATGTCCTTCGAATATTGAGAAAAACAATGCATTTTTGATTTTGTACATGGTCAATGTTGTTATTTTCTTCCTCTATGAAAGAAAAATTAGCTACCTTTTGATCTCACAACTTTCATTCATTGATTAATGTCTTAATTGATTATTAATTAAATTTCTACTTTTTTACACCAATACGAAGATTAATTAATTTAATAGTGTATAGCGGAATCTCAAGCCATACACCATTGATCAAAGAAATAATTAATTACATTAATGATTATTAAAAAAATATGATAATGCATGCATAATTCGAATCCGTTTGTAGCTTTACAAGGTTTAGAGAGGAACAAAATCATCAGGAAAACAAACATACTCAAACGTAGTTAATTTTAATATGATATTGACTTAAAATCTGAGACGGAGCTAAAATTAAATATTGACAGGGGCCGAAATTTTAGATTATTTAAGAAAAATATAAAGATTTATTAGGTATTTAAACTCGAAATTCAGTATGAACAAGCGACCTTAGTGATTAAGGGGATTGTTGTTATTCTTGAGGTCACGAGTTCACACATTGCGTATATAAGAGTATGAGCGTTCATTGTCAAATAATTGAAAGTCCTTGTACATATGCTACATTATATTCACCTTAAATTTATAATAAAAAAACTCAAAATTCACAACACAACTTATAATTTATCTAATATTTAAACTCATAATAGCCTAAATTGTAATTAAACTAAATATTTGAGAACACATACTTATCATTCTTTAGTTCGACCAATTAAATATTTAATAATTCTTTTATAATTTTTAAATTTAAATATTTATTTTTACAAGAACTAAATATTATTAAATTAAAATTATATCAAATATATAAATTTTAACATGACCGGACCCTGAGCAGTAAGGGAGCTCTGTCCCTACTTAAAACATGCAAATAAAATGGTATAATACTCAGCATTTTGAACGACCAATAATTCATAAAACAAATAGAAAATAATAAGAATAGTAAAGTTGGTTCGTGTACTAAATTTTAACTTTAACCTAGAAATCCAATTCCCGGAGTCTGCACATTTAATTTATATTTACAACTACTAGAGTCAACTCTGGATTTGTTCTCCCAGTCGGTGCTAATTGGCACTATATAAATCATGTATCCTCGGTACATTCTTCACATTATTTTTAATAAAAATCATAATTTTGACAACACTTCATTTTAAGATAAAAAATTATTATAAAATATCAATTATTTTATGTTGTATCAAAATTTTTACTGTAAGTGATCGAGTGAAATTAATATTTTCTTTGACGATGGAATTTATGTATAGAATAATTTTATATACACATTTTATTACCAAATGTAGTAATATTTTTATTTAATATATAAGACATCATGAATAAAATAACCAAATATTATTTTTAATAAACCCGTATATTGATTTTATTTTAAAGAGTGTATTGAGACAACAAATTCTTGATAACCTCATCTATAAATCTGTTGATCAATCTGGAGTAAGTATAATGTAATATTTGTTCAAAAATAACTCTCAACCAATTAACATTAAAACTCACACGCCTAACAATCTAACATTCTTAATACTCAAACTCAATACCTCAAAAAATAAGAATAATTCAAATACTACCGATCAGGGCCGTGACAGGATTTTCGAGGGCCCTGTACAAATTCGTATAAAGGGACTCCTATTTTCTAGATATATTAGATTTCGGGGCAATAATAGTGGCGTTTTCTTGACAAACGCCGCAATAAATCCATCTATAATAGTGTTTTATCAATAAAGCCGCAATAATAGTGGCGTTTTTTGAAAAAACGTCGCAATAGGTCCATCTATATTATTGGTAAAACACCACTATATATATATATATATATATATTTTTAGGGCCCTTTTTGGGGGCCTGCGCGGTCGCGCAGTTTGCGCCCCCCAGCCACGGCCCTGCTACCGATGTTACTTGGTTCGTGTCTCATCCATAAATTTGATATGTGCTTTAATTGACACTTATCATCAACATCACCACCTTTCGGTATATATGGGATGCTTCGTATTGGCCACTTCTTCCATATATACGTATAAAATACTTTCATAACTTTTATAAAAGAGACAAAATAAGAATAAAGATATTCTTTATAAAATGTTGGTTCTTCTTTCTAAACGGTGGATGAATAGAATCTCTATCGCTTAAGATTTATGTGAAGGATGAGTTTTTGGCCTCCCAATCATGTTGGCCTATGAAGTGCTTCCTATGCAAGCCACTCGATCCCAAATACACTCATTCAAGTTACTACAGTGGACATATTCGAGGGAAATAAGCTTATGCAATTTAATTACAAGTTTGAGTATGAATACTTTTTTTAATATAATTTACTTATTGATTAAAATATTAGTATAATAAATATTTTAAGGTCAGGATTAATGGTGTCCAGCTCTTGTTTGATCGTATTATTTTTGTCACTATTTGCCTTCCCATTTCTGCCACGCTCTGCAGGAGGAAAAAGATGGCATGGATACCAATACACGATTGCGTTCTCGATGGACACTTCAATTTGAATCTCATCGGTTTACCTGTGTTAATTGTTAGTCCAATAACATTTTACTGCCACCCAGTTAAAATAGTTTCACAAGGAACCAAAGTCATACTCATCGTTCTAATTCATTTCTCCATCGGTTTCATTTATGATGAATTTTGTTGATATTTGAAAGAAATTCATTTTAAATACAAATAGTTTTAACTAATTAATATATTAATTTTGTAAAATAAATTAAAAAATAAAAATAAGTGCACAATATTTTAAAAAAAAATAATCAAATTACAATATGAATATAATTTCGATGGTGGCGTAAGATAGGACCCATTGGACACGATTCCAAAGGCATTTTGGCCTCCTACAAATACCGCTCACTCCCTCCCGACCATTTCCATCAAGCCAAAGCCTACGCCTACGCCCATTCATTTCCCGCACTTGGAAGGAATAATCCTATTCATTTCCTTGTTTAATGCTGTTCATCTCTTCAAGACCACAAAGGTAATCATCTCAATTCCGCCAATCTCTTTCTCTCTAGTTTTTCAAAGGTTTCTCTCATTAATTCGTTATGGGTTTCATTTTCTACACATACAGATAAATTTTCGGTACAATTCTTCAAAACTACTACCATGTCTGGTCCTCTTAGCAAGAGCTTAGGTTTATCTTCAGCTTCCACCATCACCGAAGACGCCATTAATGGAACCGAGAAGCAAGGCATGCCATCTTCCGAAGAATTCCCTGTCTTCGTTACAGACTCATCTTCCGAAGGAGACGATTGCCAAGACAAGGAGCTCGAAAAGCCATGCCAGTTCGATATATGGAGCTCCATCATTTCAAAGAAAGCCAACAACGACTCCTCCATATCGCTTCCCCCGCCTTATGTCCACTCTCTCGTTAAAAGATCAGCCAATGGCTTAAGCGAGAAAAGCCTCGAAATCTGCACCGAGAGCCTCGGTTCTGAGACTGGATCCGATGGGTTTTCTTCGTATCCTCCGTCGGAGACCAGCTACGCGGAGGAAGATCAACACGGAGTGCTCCAACAACAAAAAACTGCTTGTTTTGATGATGAAAACGATCAGCCGAGGACCGTGAAATGTAATAAATATAATGTGATCGGGAAGAAATCGCCACAGCACGGATCGTTTCCTCCACCAATATCTTCGCTCTCTCGCAAAGGTGGTGCGTCGGTTCGTATGGAGACTCATCGTGATAATGGAAGATTGGTTCTCGAAGCTGTTTCAGTACCTTCGATGAATAACTTCTTCGCTCAACGCCAAGATGGTCGCCTAGTCCTCACTTTTGCCAATACCATTAATGAAGCAGGAGTGTTTGAAAGCTTTGGAACAGAAGCAAACATATTTGACGACGAAGAAGATGTATGTCGTGAGATGGAGCATGGTATTAAACTCGAGTGTGGAGCGACGAATGTGCATAGGTCAGCTGCGATGATGAACAAACCCTTATGGTTTGCAAATAGGAACCCAACATGGCCCAAATCATTTGATGAAATAGTTGAGCCGACCGCCCCACCGCCCGCGCCGCGGGTGGCTAGACTGATACCACCACCACAATCAACAACAGCAGCCGCTTCGTTCAACGCATATGAGTACTATTGGAGGAGGCACGATCAGCCCATGTCGTCAAAGGCAGCCATCCTCACATCATTTTCTCAGCAATCACCGCAACTGTTTTTCTCCAAGAAACAAACGGCTAATGATCATCATCAACACCAAATGGTGGTTTTGAGAGGGAACAATGGCCATTACTTAGTTCCTTTGTCAAAAGGCTGCAAAGAGGCATGGAGGTCTGTTATATTCTTGTTTCCATATTGCATTGCCACTTCCTGATGGTCATCGTCAAAGTAGCATCCCAAAACATTTTCATATTTGTGCCTATCATTATTCTTCTTACCCTATCTTTTTTCTCCCCTGATAGTTTTTCCACTATCGCTTCCTGAAGAGGCGATCGTGACTGTGTTGTTCAATTTCCAATAAAAAGATCAACAAATGGGAAAGAGAATACTTTTCGGGGTTTTATTTTGAAATTTCAGACGCAACATCCATATTATTAAAATTTCTTATTATCTATAAATTAATAATATTAAATATTTAAATGTATTTGATTAAGGATATTAGGTCATGCAGAATCTTGTCGGTAGGATTGTTGTTTTTTTTTTTAGAGGTGTTCGAGTTTGGACAATTGTATTTATAAGATGCAAGTACATTGTCAATAGAATAATAAATTTCGAATAAATATCATCTTATAATCATCATAAATTATTGAAAAAAATATTAAGTCATGCATATCTAATTCAAAAAATGTAGGCAAAAAAGTATTAGAGGTCTTGTACTTCTAAAAAATAACATGACTTTTGTATTATTTTTCTTTTAATGTGGCCCTCCAATTCATAAAATAAATCTAATGTGATCCTTTTACCAACGTTTTTCGTTGTTTGACCGATATAATGCTGATGAGGCAGTTCACGATGCTAATGTGATGGTCCACAGTACTGACGTGACAGTCTATATGTCATGTTTGAGTTACCAACTTAGTCACTTTGTCATGTTATCCGCCACTTTATCAATTACTATAGATTGTCACGTCAACACCGTGAACTGCCACATCAATACTATAAACTACCATATTGACATATTAACAATCAACGACAAAAAAAATTGGTCAAAGAATTACATTAGACTTCCTTTTTGAATTGAAAGACCATATTAAGAAAAAAGTAATACAATATCAACATTAATTTGTTCTTAAAAATATAATAACTTCTAATGCCTTTTTGCTAAAAATTTAAATCTTTTATATTTAAAACCATTCAAGCCAGGCTTGCACCACTAACGATCTTACCGTTAAGAAAACTATAACGTAATAGAAGTATATTAATATTTGTAGAAGTTGTTTTAAGTAGTATCGGGTTCTTGTAAGATAATATTTATTCAGAGTTTATTTTAATTATTATTTTATTGATAATGTATATAACTTCGGTAAATACAACTGCTTAAATATATATCTCTAAAAAAATAATATTATCTTTTACTAATAAAATCACTTATGAATTTAAATATTTATATAAATTATGATTAGATTCAAATAGAAAAAACAAATTCTAATTCTAGCCAAGATAGGAACAATTACGGTTCAACATTGTCTAAATTCAACTCGGGCCAGGCCTAGGCTAACAGGCTGGACAAATACTCCATCTACGAACTAGTTTTGAACCGACTTGAATCCATGGCCCGAATCGCTAAATAGAAACCAACAAGTCGGTCCGATCCCGTTCTATTGCTTATTCGCGTGTGGGGCGCAAAGGCAAAAGGCAGGGCAGCGAAATAGATATAGGAACGACTATCAATTCGTGGAAATACAAATAGAAAGCAGAAATCGGCGATGGGAGAGAGCAACAGAAGCGTCGATGAGGATTTACTTCTTAAAGAATTCTTCGCTGAAGTTAGCGAAGTCGAAAGGGACAATGAAGTCGTCAGGTTTTCTCTATCTCCCCCCTCCCTTTTCTCAATTTCTTTGAATTTAATAATTATTATCGTTATTCTCCCGTTAATTTGTTCTTATTCATGGGATTTATGTATTTTTTTAATTATTTCGGTTTGGTTGGTCTCAGCCATTAGGTTTTATACTTTGACAGCTGCATAAACTGTGAATTTTGTCTCCTTTTTTTTAAATTATGAAGCTGATTTATTTGTGTAAAGCTTGAGCTCAAATAACATTCTTTACCTTTCGATGAATTGGCTAACTTTTTAAGTTTGATATTTATGGTTATGACAACATGCTTAGTTAAGAAATATTTGTGTATAATTTTTTGCTCATTTTTCTATTTGATTTTGATGGGTATTCTTTGCATTTGATGGCTTTTCTAGTACCGGATTACATTGCTTTGCCGTTTTGTATTACAACTTGACAGTAATGGATGTTTTCAAGATCATAGTCATGCAAGTAGCCAAGTACCATCTAAGTTGGTGAAAACACTAGATCCAATAATTCTTAGTAAGAGATTGCATCGATGCCTTAAATATCAGTATAATCAGCGTTCTATTTGCCTATGCTTAAGAGCATCAGAAGTTAAAGGGAATTGGATGCACTTGCTTACGATATAGTCTATGTAACATGAATTTGGCGGTATAGTGCTGTAGTCCACGTGAAACATTATTTTATTTTCTAATCCCCTTATGCCTTGGTTGAGATAACCAGAGATTCAATAGATACATTATTCTTTCCTTCCGTGTAGGTGTGCAAGTTGAATATATAGCTAACACAAGATGCTTTCAGTTTTGCCAAAGCTTGTTGTTCTGTTTGACTGGTCATGCCCCATATCCAGTCCCAATTGGAGGTGCTAGATATGTGACCAAAATGGGTTCTTTAGGGGGAACAGTAAAAAATAGAGCTGTGGCAATATAGCTCCTCTCTCTGGCCCTCCCTCTCTCGATAAGTAATATTTTATCTGGGCGTTGCCACAATTATAGTGAAATAATGACTGATATTGGTCATCGAGGCTAAAGCTGCTGTAACTGCCATATGGTCTCTTATGCATGTATGGCTTGGTTATGTTCATTTTGCATTAACCTCTGAATTTGGGGAGTTGTATATTTTGATTAATGATTTAAATTTTAACTTCATGGCCTTTATAATGTGACATTCTTGAGAGAACCATCTTATTTGAAAGAACTATCTTAATCCATTAGAAATCTTACTTTTTTTTATCATTGTTCCAATACCAAAGTGATATGGGTGTACATAAGAAAGCTACCTGACCATCACTTATTTATATTAATTGTTTAATGATCCTTTTGTTTTATGTTGTCTTCCATCTAATTTAGTTTGCTTCTAGCAAACAATTACAAATTTGGATATTGTTGATGAGCTTCTTTCTTTTATCACCCTTTGATTAACTTTTGGCATATTAAAATTATTTCTGGAAATCGTAGGATCCTTTCATGCTTCAAGTTGAATGCATTTGAGTTTCTGAAGCTACCATTTGATTCATCCCCAGAAGATGTCAAAAAACAGTATCGCAAGGTTTTTTTTTTCTTCCATGACCATTTCCTTGGCCATTGATGATTTTGTAACTTGGATAGTTTTTGATTTATTTCATTAAATATACGCAGTTATCGTTAATGGTCCACCCTGATAAATGCAAGCATCCACAAGCAAAAGAGGCTTTTGGAGGTTAGTTGATTATGTTTTACATCTTATACGATGCTCTTCTCTCACATCTTGAAGGCCTTCCTTTTTAGATTAACTTCGAATAGAACATTATCCAATTAATTAACTTATTAATACTATTGTTGCTGCTGCTGTTGTTCTGTTGCTTGGTAACCAATATATTTGATAAAAAGGAATTAACTCCTCCCCTCACCCCTTCTGAGGACCCATACACTGAAAATAAAAATTCAACATCCTGATATTCAGCATTGCTGATGATTGATATAGATAATCCAAGATTAAGGGTTCTCATACTGCATCCTCTCTTTTGTACCCCAACTATAAGAAACCATCATGATCATCATCATCACATGTGGAAATGCAAGTAAATTTTGACGAGTTTTGTCCCTAGAGCTGGGGACTGGCTATTATGTTGTTTGTTCAAAACAAAATGAAATTTAGCATGGAAGATGATAATGATTCATGGAAAAATAAAAACCATGATGATTTGTTCGTGCTGAGCACAAAAAAGAACATAAAACTTGATAAAGAGTTGAGGGGATTCCATTTTAGCTCGATTAATCCTAATTGCCACCTAGTTTGGCACCATAAAAATTTTCTTTGCAAAAGGTTGAAACTATGTCAGCCTTCATAACACCAGATGTTAGCATTTAATAACACCAGGCACAACTTAAGATTTGCAGTGAGATTAACTATGTCATTACACCGCCACTTTCACATAAGATGTTGAGATGATGTGTATTGCATCCACATACTTATATATCTTTTTATTTGTGCTATGAGTGGAAAAATATCAAGGATAAGTTGTTTTTGTTATTCTCTTGATGCATCTCTATTTATTTTATAATTTCTACTAATGGTTATATCAAAATATCTTAACCCAACTTTGATTTTGACTTGTTACAGTATTAGCAAAAGCCCAACAACAATTGCTTGATCAACAAGAAAGGGATTATATCCTTAGCCAAGTTACTGCCGCAAAAGGTAATGCTTAATTTTTTGTAACTTTCTGAGGAGACCTTATCTATTTGCTTGACTTTGTTGCTTCTCACTTAAAAATATCTTCAAAACCGGAAACATTTGTTTGGAATCTTAATGCTGGTGCCATGTAGCCGATGTAGAATCTAATTGAGATTTTGTTCTCACTTTTTTTGGTTAACCTTTTCTTTTCATTGAAAATGTGTTATCATAAATGCATCTGTTTGTTTTGATCTTTTTGACTTGAGCTTTTTCTCTCTTTTTCCTGCTCTTACATGAATAAGTAAAATAAACCCGAAACCTGTGGTAAAAGAAATAAGTTATCATGTTCCGTTTGATGCAATATGCAGAAGAACTTAGAGCTAAGAGGAAGAAGCAGTTGAAGAAAGACACAGCTTCCAAGTTAAAGTCGTTAGTTGACGAGGTATGTACTTAATATATTTTTCATTCTAGCTGTTCATTTTGACCAAGTTGGTGCAATTGTAGTTTTTAGCTTTTCATATTTTCGAGGAAGTAATGGGTGTTCTATTATCTGCGATATGCAGCCTTGATTGAAATTGCGTGGTTATATGTTACAAGGTAATTGCGTTGATTCTTGTGCCAACAGAAGAGACTAAGGCGGTCTGTTTATTTGCAGGGAAAATCTGAAAAAGAGTATGAACAATCAGAGGAATTCCAGCAGGAGTTGAAATTGAAGGTTCGAGAGTTATTAACAGAGCAGGAATGGCGGCGGAGAAAGATGGCGATGAGGGTATACTGGATTCTGTTAACATCCTTGCTTGCTTTAGGTGTTATGGCATGTTAAAGGCTTATTACTATGGTGACCTAATCACCTCTCCTTACGGCATCTCAGATATCTGAAGAAGAAGGTCGACTAAAGAAGGATGAAGAAGAGCAAAAGGAGATGTGGAAGAGGAAGCGTGAACATGAGGAGCAGTGGGAAGGAACGAGGGAAAAGCGAGTATGTTTTTCCTTTTGTTTTTTTTTTTCTGAGAACCCAGAATAACAAAGTTACCAGTTCAAGCTTCTCATGGTTCTTGTTTAATACTTAAATTTTTGGTTTTGTTTCTTGGCCAGGTTTCTAGTTGGAGGGATTTTATGAAGTCTGGGAAAAAGGTAAAAGTTATACATAACACACACACGTATACATTATATATATATCGATGAAGCTGTGTTTTAGTATCGAGTCATATTCGAATTCTGATTATATGACAATAAATGAGTTGATTGAAAAGAAGATTGATGGATGGTTGGTTCACAGTCGAAGAAAGGAGAACTTCGTCCACCGAAATTGAAGACAGAGGATCCCAACAAATCGTATGTTCAGAGGCCTGTAAAGAGGGGTTAACTGTCCCTTCTTGCGGATTCTTTTACAATGTAGCTTTCAACAAACTACTTTGTATTCCAATACTGATACATTATTGGTATCACCTTTTGATGAACCGATTCGAATTTATCTTTTTCGGGTTTATCAGTATTTTTCAAATTATAAATATTTATAAACATATGTAATATATATAGTCCAATTTCAGGTTGTCTTAATTTCATCAAACTATACAGGTTACAAAGATCATTCATATATTAGTGTTGAACAATATCATGGGTAATGGTAAGGAATTTATTTAAACATAAGAAATGATATTATTGAACAATATAATTGTTAATTTTAATATAAAACAGAAAGATAATTACCAAAAAGCGAAACAAACTAGAAAACTTTAACAGCGAAGTGAACTATGCAATATTAGTTTTTCTTATTATTAAATCGTCTCTATATAATGTCTATTTTTAAATTAGTAATCAATAAAAGCATGCTGATGCTCAAATATTTTAAAAGTTAACAATATAAATCATCTCTTGATGTAATATTAACTTTTAAATATTAATTAAAAATATACTAATAATCCTTAGTTTGCTCGTGAAATATAAAAAGTATTATCCACTAGTGAATAAAAATACGACTTAATATATATTGAATAATTTTCATTGTATGTACATGTGATAATGCCCCGACAAAACAATCTACAACATATATATTACTTACTGTAACAAAAAACGAACAGAGCCACACTTAAAACTGTTATTGATGAGTTAGGAACATATATCATCAATAATTCACAGCTTTGCCTTATAAAAGAAATAACATATATATGTGATGGCTTAACCGATCTATACCCCTCTATATGATACACATATATTTATATTCTTTCTTTCATCATCATCATCATCACATATAATGGGACCTCAAAGGACGGCAGAAAAATATTTGATCTAAAATGATGAATATATGTATATATATATAAACTAAATGTGAAAAATACTACCAACCCCTTGAAAAAACCACCCTGACTGCTGCTTTCTATGCTCAATTTACAGAGGGAGAAGCCTGAATTGCAACTTTCAGCACAATACGAAAACCAAACGGCAAACCTACCCCGTATGCAATCTGGTTACCCAACTTGCATCTTTTTCATGATCTCGAGGCCTACAATCTGCCGAAACTGACAAAAAACCAAAATGTCATAAAGCCTTCTCTAAGTGGGAGAGATTGCAAGTTTGGAAAATGCCTGTATATGGCAACATGCTCTATACAGGGCACCGGAATCCCAGGCGGTATAGCATGAGCCCGAATGGGCATATAGAGAAACAATTGGAAGTATCTACTGTATCCAAGCAAGTGAGCCTCGGTCATTTGCATTTGCTACTTGAGGACAATCTCTGGTTGGTGTCGGAGGTCTGTTAGCATTCAGCTCCTGATCCCATAAACACAAATATTAAAGTTGTTGCGGCAGACCACGTAGTATAAGTAAAAAAAAAAAAAAACAGAAAAAATGCAAGTTTAATTACTGCTAACAAAAAGGAAGAAGCAGCACCTGCATCCATGTACTTCTGTTTGACCTTCCGGTGATGCTTCAGGTGACATTGCTGGGGGTAAAGGATGAATGAGTTTTGGAAATACCACTAGATCTCTTCCCAAAACTAAGATTGGTCCAGGATTATTAGCAGTACCTGAAAAAACAAGAACAATGCAAAATCTAAAGGCTAAATTCTGTAGACCTGATAGATGAACGGTGCATAAATTAAAACACAAGACAGGGACACACCACAATAATTGGTAGCAGAGAAAAGGGTGATTAATTGTCCCTGTGCAAAACGCTCAAAGTCATCCATAACAAACTCGTGAGCACGAACAATCAACTGGAGATCATTGTTATCGCAGAGTTCCATAACACGATCAGGCTGCAAAAGGATAATACATTTATAAAATATAACATGAAAAAATCATCATTCAAGTAATCAACAGAATAAGTTCTACTTAGATATAGACAGACATAAGCAAGGAAGAAATGAAACACAGAATCCATTTAAACATGTATCTTAAGTTGAAAGTTATAGCTTTTAAGGGTTTAAAAGACGGGCATCATTCCTCTAAAGCTGTGGAAAGCTTGGGGGGGGGGGAGTTGAGTTGAGAGAGAGAGTTTCATGGGTACATTACGTAGATCAACCAGCCAGCAATATCTAACTTCCTTAAATATTGAAATCAAAGCAACATGTAGCTATACAAAGGACTTGAATTGTTGTTGGCTTAACAATAGCTATAAAGTAGCATACTCACCCCAAAAGTAACCAAACCTGGACCTCTAGCATTTGGTCGCAACCCTTCCACAATATCATTTTCTGTTGGATCGGACCTAGAGTAGAAAATGGCAATAAAATGTATCAGCGCATTAAAGCAATGAATACTATATTTATTGACCAGAACAAACAGTAACATCCTCTGTCCATAATAAATCCATAAGAACGATCGAGCCTGCTTCCATTGTAATTGGACGCTGTTGGCTCTCAATCTGTTCCACATGATTTATAGTTCGACCAATTCCACCATGCATACAGATGATTTTCTTTTCAATTAAAGCTGCCAGAGGAAGCCAATTGAATAAACGGTTTATTCGATGCCATGCCCATATTCCATCTCTTTCACCCTGTTACACAAACCATCAGATTTGCAACTAAATTCTACAAAGCTGGACTTAATGTTTTTCTAACACATGAAACAATACCATGCGCTCAATACACTCAATCCGGAAGCCAGAAAGTGCATTGATATCTGCAGCTTCATGATTCCCCCGAATTAAATGAACATTATTGGGATATTCAACCTGTAACAGTAACATAATTAGGTGGCTCATCATCATTTCAATAGAAGTAAAAGCGAGCATGAGAAGATAGTGGAAGTACCAAACTTCTATATTTACCTTCAACGCAAGCAGAAGAGTAATGGTCTCCAAGCTGTGTTGGCCCCGGTCCACATAATCCCCTAAGAAGAGATAATCGATATATCTGATAGTAATTTATACAAAATTAGTATCAAGTAAAAAGATATCAGATTAGAAATGAGATGCAATACAGCACATGCAGATTACACGTAAGACAACATTATTTATAGATATTAAAAGAACCAGTCATTAGTACGCTGAAACATCATCAATCAAGCGCCTTCAGAAAACAAGATCTTTTGGCAAACACTTACGCAATGTCCCCAGCCGTTGAAGGTGCACCATATTCATCAAAAAGGAGCATAAGATCCCCAAATTGTCTATGTAGATCACCAAAAGTTTAGTTTTTGTTCCATTTTGGTATCGCAAAGTTAAAAACCTTACTTTTTGTTTCATTTTAATGTACCGTTCAAAATTTAACGTTAAATTTTTGAAAAAAATTGAAAGTTTAACTACTGAAATGGATCAAAGTATTAGTTTAGGTACTAAACGCATTGAACTTTTAAAGGATGAGTACTAAAATGAAACAAAAACTAAACTTTCAGCGTGTTTAAAAAAATTAAAAGTTTATGCATTAAAACGGATTAAACTTGATTATAAAAAAAATTATGTAAATGGTCTCTTTCATTATATGATTTTTTTATTTCTTTATTATAAAATAATTATTTGATTTAGAAAATAATGAATTGATTTTTCTCATTAAAAAAAATAAATCACATATAATTAGCCGTTAAGTAAACAACTAATGAAGAGCCTTACTAAGCTAAACCAAGATGAAGGCTCATCCCAAAAGGCAGTCTAATATCTGCAAAACCAACACCATTTCGACTTATTGTGGTTGAAGAAGTAGCACTAATGTAAAAAATAAGTACTAACATTATTTGAAAATTGATTAGAAATAAATATTTTAAACAGTTTATATGCAAAATATTACGAGATTTAAGAATATTATAATAAACATTTATTGATTTAAAATACTAATGACATATTTTGAATTTGACGAGATTGTGAAAGAAAAAGAAAAATGTCTTATAAAATATTCGAAACTTTAATATTTAAAATTATCTTTGATTGTCGTAATGATTGAACCTGATCAAGTCTAAAAACTATTTTTAACAGTTTAAAATCAATAAATTATTGTCATTATATTCTTAAATGTCACATTTATTTTCTTATATATGTTTTTTAGAGTGTTTATCTATAATTTTATAAACATATATTTATTGAGTGATTAAAGATGATATTTACACAAATGTATTATGTTACCATCAGGGATGTGGCAGGGTTTTCGGGGGTCCTGTACAAATTCGTATAAAGAGGCCCCTATTTTTTAGATATATTCGATTTCGGGACAATAATAGTGACGTTTTCTTGACAAACGCCGCAATAAATCCATCTATAATGACGTTTTATCAATAAAGCCTTAATAATAATGACGTTTTTTTGGAAAAAACGTCGCAATAGATCCCTATATAGTAGCATTTATTAGTAAAACGCCACTATATATATATATATATATTTAAGGTATTTTTGGGGCCCTGCGCGGTCGCACAGTTTGCGAGCCCCCCAACCACGATCCTGATTACCATCGTCTTGCGATTCGTAGGTATCTTGACATGTACTTCACATATTATTATTATTTTGAATAAAGTTCATACAGATTTTTTTTAATATTTTTATTCTATCCTTTTTATCTCTTTCATTTTAATCATAACGTTAATAAAAAAATATTTAAAAAATTTAGCACCAATTAAACTAAATATTTTTCAATTTTATTAGCGAAAGACGTTTTCCATGCATGTGTTTATTAAAAAAATAATCAATTTCGATAAATAAAATTAAATATTATTATTTTCGTAGTATCACTGGACAAAAATTAGTAAATAATATCTGGATATTATTTAGGTTCTTTGTTTGTTCTCACTTCCTTTTTGCCCACCCCAAAGTCTTACTCGCTACTCTCTTTCACTCTTCAGCTTCACACTACAATAAAAGTTATTCCTTTCATTGATTCCCCAGACACCAATCTACAAAATTCAAACTCTTTCGTTTTGCCGAATCTTCAAAATAAAGAAAAGTCTAGTTATTTTTAAACCCCCTGTTTTATTAATCGATCTGCTGGGCTGATCATCATCTGCTTTTCTTTTGAACTATCGAATGGAGGTAAGAGTATATTATGGGTGTTTCTTTGATTGTTGTTTCCGGGTTTTTTTTGGTGTTTGGCCGGATAGAAAATGGAGCTAAAAGTTTTAATATTTTTATGGGAAAAGTTGATGAATTTGCCTGGATTTTTAATATCGGTCCTGAATATTGGAGTTTTCTGTTTTACAAAGTTTATTTTGTTTGATGTTTCCAGGTCTTGTGTTGATCTTACGTTAGAATAACTGATTTTATGTGTCGGATCATTATGGTGTCTATATCTTCATTGTTGATTATACACGGACTATTTTTATGTATAAGTCTTTACCAAGGCGTTGAACTTTTTTTTACTGGTCAGTGGTCACCGTTGGTTCCACTTTTGTACCCAAGACTGGGCTTAGTTTCATTTTCTTAATGGTAAAATTTGGAATTGAAATTGAAAATATATAGTTGGTGCCTGGCCTTGTAGGGTATGGAAGATGCCAAGTCCGAGGCGCATTTAACCTCTACTTCAGCATTTGTGGAAGGTGGAATCCAGGATGCTTGTGATGATGCTTGTAGCATATGCCTTGAAGAATTTTGCGAAAGCGATCCATCCACTGTATGTTTGCGGGATTTTTTTTTTGATACGGGGATGGATAATCTTTTGATCCTTGTTTGTTCATTGTTCTTTTGCTTACAGATGACAAGGTGCAAGCACGAGTTTCATCTGCAGTGCGTTCTTGAATGGTAGTATGAATCTCTTACCTAGTTTATTAGTTCATTATAGTTCTCAGTTCAGGTTGAATCTGCACATATAATTAGCAATGGATCGATGTTCTAGTTTTGGTTCTGAAAGCAGTTATCTACTTTAGGTTATAAATTAGTCTGGAAATGACAGTTTCATACAATTCTCTAATTCACTGGTAAAACTGAGAGAGATTTAATTTAGCTCACATTCTTGCCTTAGGATTTAGATGTCAGTTATGTCGGTTGAATGAAGTTTGAGTTATTGTTGAGTGTGTATAACAGTTTTATAGATGCCGCTTATTGTTATTTGTTGAAACTGCTTCTCTCGCCTTATCCATTACCACCATCAATGGATTTTATTGAGGAACAGTAAGGTGATGATATAGAAGTGTTTACTGGTACATTAGTGGTATGGTGTGCCAATGGAGGTTTTTGGAGTTTTTCTCACATGGGTGTGGAGATAAATATTTCTGAAATTTTATTTATTCTAATACTTGAGGGATATGGAATATTGAAATGATAGACAGGAATAGTGATGACTTGTTTTGGATGTCACATTCACGTGAAATCTCCAGTTTAAAATGATGGAATTTCTTCCACTCTACTGTGGTTCGATCTCAGAAGTAGTATTGAACAGTGATCTATAATTCTAGCATAGATTTGAAAAAATGAAAGCTTCAAACTTGAAGTCTGGTTTTCATTAGATGGGATGCTTGAGAAGAATCTGCAAAGAATATCATTGGCAAGCGACGACTTCAGTTATTCTGGGCTGTGGATCATAAAATAATTACATACTAGAACTGTATGGCCCTCATGATCTGCAATAACTCCACTTGATAAAAGAATCTGACGTGAATTTATGGGTCGTGTTTTTGAAGATCATTTGATATATTAGTCGTGCAGGTGTCAAAGGAGTTCTCAGTGTCCCATGTGTTGGCAGCCAATTAACCTGAAAGATCCAATTAGGTGAAGTTTCATCTATTGTTTATTCTCCCTTTTTCCTTCAAAGTTTCATATGCTTGCTCTAGATTCCTCTAGCCGGTGTGCATTGGACGCTGATAGTTTTCTCTCGCTTTGGCAGCCAGGAGTTGCTTGAGGCTGTTGAACATGAAAGGAGTTTTAGGTCCAATCCATTTAGAAATGCAACCATATTCCATCATCCTACTTTGGGAGATTTTGACCTACATGTATGTATTTCTTGTCATCTTATTAGATTTATGTCGTCCTCTTTTTATTATCATCACATTGAAACTAAATCCCGAGGAGCCACATTCTCATGGCTTGCTTTGAACACAGCTGCCTGTGGGGGCAAATGAAGCTGAGCTCGAGGAGCGCATAATGCAGCACTTGGCTACTGCTGCTGCAATGGGGCAAGAACGTCAAATTGCAAGAAGGGAAGGTCCGAGGAATAGGTCATCTGCTCAAGCTCGTCCGCGGTTCTTGGTAGTTTCGTCTCATCCAAATGCTCCCTCTACTAGTCCGTTGCTTTCACCATCCCCATCTCAGAGAGGTGAGCCAGCCCCTACAAACACCGTTGGCACTCCATCCTCTCTAGAGAGAACTGTGGGGGAAGAATCTTCAGCATCAATTTCTCCTATACCTTCTGTCCAAGCTGATCTACAGTCCGCCTCAGCATCTGGCTCCAGTGTTCTTTTGGTCAATGATCAAGGCTTGAACAATAGGTACTTGCTGTTTTCTAACTTGATTCTCCTTATTTTTCTGAGATGAATTCCTTTAGAATTTTTCAACCTTTGGTTATGTCAATCGCAATAATATCTTCTGTTGTTCTCTTGATGGAGGTATCCTAATCAATCCCCTAATAGTCATGATAGAGCAGGACCTTCAGAATTCCAGTCATTTTCAGAATCATTAAAATCAAAGTTTAATGCTGCTTCAGTGAGGTATTGGTCATGACAAACTTTTGAGATTTTATTTATCCCCACGGTGATATTTCAATGATTTCTTTTACATGATATATTCTAAATTTGTGACTATATTTCGAGTTATGGGTATTTTTAGATACAAGGAGTCAATTTCAAAGAGTACAAGGGGATGGAAAGAGAGGTTTTTCTCTCGCAACACTTCCATGTCAGATCTTGGTTCTCAAGTTAGGAGAGAGGTTAATGCTGGCATTAAAACAGTTTCGCTTATGATGGAGCGTTTAGAAACCCGAGATAATAGAACTAGCACGGTTACTGTATCAAACAGTTCAGAAGACAGGTCTAATCCAGAATCAAATAGTCAACAAATTTCCAGTGCTGGTGGAGAAACTCCTACTGAAGTCAGTGCAGTAGCTTCTTGTGCCACAAGTTCTGCTTCCAAATAAGTGATGTATTCGTATCTGAATGATATTTTAGCATAAAAAGGTCAGCTGAGGTGTTGAAATGATGCTTGTTTTCAGTTGCAGCATATAAATGATAATTTCTGATTTAAGTTATTGAGCTTGACTATTACTAGGATGATCAGTTCTACATAGTTATCATTATCTCTCATAATTCATATCTTCTTAAGTTACATACACACACATATATGTATATATTGCTGAACACAGACATGGAAATTTAACCCTCCAAATACATAAATAGTTTTGAAGAGTTGAACATACTTGTGTAGGATATGTATCCATATTCAACACCCTCATCTGAGACCGAGTGACATAGGACTGCACTAGCTAATAAAAGTATTCAACTTTCTTACATATCTTTATTCTTTTGCTTTGACATTATCTCTGGTACGTCTCCCGGTCTTGATTTTCTTAATGTGTATGACTTCTGATTGTGGATCAAATGTTCTATTTCCAGATATGCTCTATTTTTTTATTGATATTTGGCAGGCATGAAGAAACAAGTTGGTGTTTGAGAACTGATCCAGAATGGAACATATGCTGAGAAACAAATAAGTTTATGTTTGGATTTGAAACACCAATGGCTCATGTAATTCTTAGCTTTATTCATGAATATATAATTTTGAGGCGCTCAGTGTGTTGAAGATGAAAATTCTTGTTCGACAGCTTCCAAGGTCAATGTGATCCTACTTAATAATTGTTTCAGGCGCTTGATCTCTTTAAACATAATTTTTTATTACCGTACAACGTTATTCTTAGCTTGTGAAACATTTATTTTTCACCGTGCCAAAATAATAGTTCTTTTTTTTAACGTTGAATCATTTTTATCTAAATCGATTCAATAATGATTCGTGGTCGAAGACAGTAACGTGAAAAACTGAAATAATCATCCATATCTAACACAAAACGCGAACCATAAGGATTCTCGTAACTTCAAATTTTATCTCTGATCACCTGTTTATGTTCCATTTATTATCAACATCGGGTATGTTAAATTTCAAACATGGACACCTATTCATGCTCCTTGACACGAAGTGACTTGTCGATAATTGAATGGACCATTGGTTTTTTTAGGACAATTAGTTGTATTTAAACTGTAAAAACTAGCTATATTAACAACGGAAATGTCTTTAAAAAAAACCATGAGATGAGAAGAAAAAAAAGATTGCCTTTTCCATGAATCATAACAGGATGCCAACAGGGCGCAGAGAACTGCAGAAAATGTAACATAAACCTCAGAATAGCATGTCATTGTCAACATCCCTGAGGGTAGATATCAGAACTATACCAAGAGGGTGTAGCTAAATCAAGCTAAGCAAATTCAGTAATATCGTGAACCGGTATCATATGCATGCCCCCCCTGGTATGAACCTCTAGGTTCAAACCCCTGATCCCTGGCACCCCCATGAAATCGAGACCTCTCTCCGTAGGAGTCAAAGTTATCAGAGTTATAGCCTCTATATGCATCTCCAACAGCAGCAGGACCAGCAATGCTACCAAAACCATGGGGATTATTACCAGTACGAGGGTAATAGTCCATCATTGCCTGCTGGTATTGTTGTTGTCGTGCAAGAGATTCCTTTCGTAGGAACTCATCTCTGCGATTGGCATGCCGTGCTCGAAGTGCTGTTAGCTGTTCCTGATATTGAATATTGATTGCATTTATTTTCTGAAAATTTAAAAACAAAATCGTTACCACTATGCAAAACCTATGCAATATTGTTGAAAACAAGGTTAACCAAGGAACTAAGAAGTGGCAAGGTGTCTGAGAAGAAGAATGCATATGCCAGTTTACTTCATTAAATATCTAAGCTTCCCTCTACAAAGGCATCATTTATGTCAAATGCAGTTGCATGCAATCAATGACTTTCTTACCTTGCAAGCTTAGATTGGAAGAGCAAACCTGAAGAATAGCCCCTCTCAAATACACCCTATTAAATAAAGCCAACCCTTTAGACAAAGGTGGCAACTATAAATGACTAGTTCGTTCATATAAACTGCCTGTCCAGAATAACAGCAAGAACAGCCCAGACAGTTGCATATTTTACATGCACAACTGCCAAGCAAAGGAGAAAATACCGACTAAAACATTATGATGTAAAAGTTTCAGTTTATTAGAAAACTACTGCTTTTAGAATTTGCATTCTGATTGCTTAGCGCAAACAGGCAAACATGTATTGGAAAAAGTTTCCTTGTTTGTATAAATTAGTTTTGCAAATTAAACAATGAAACATAAGCAGCTAATATTGAGAATATGAAGCAAAATGAACTCCATATACACACCTCTCTATGTCTAGTATTTTCGGCATCCTCAGCTTCGCTCTGTTCTTTAGCAAGCTTCATTATGTCATCGTGGAATTTCTTCTCAAGAACTTCCAAAGTTGGTGGCAGAACATTTTGCTCATGGCCAACTTCCATATTTTCATCATGGGGTCGAGATCTGAGATCGGCATTTTGTTTTTCTAAAGATAGATTAGGATCTGGCCTTTGGCCCTGGAAATAAGTTCTTGATCCATCAGTCCCCTGGCCTATGTCACATTAAACAGCTCCAATAAGAGCAGTGGTCCAATACAAATTATAAGTGTGAAATTAAAAGATTATTTTCAAGTATAAAAAGAAAAGACACCAAACATGTAAAAATAAAAACAAAGCAAGTCACAGTTATTTTTACTATTATAATGGGCCCATCTCACCCTTAAGCCCAATTAATAATGAAGCAAAGGCATTCCATCTTGTGCCATTTTCCCAGTTCCTTAAGAATACAAATATATCAGAGTAATAGAAGAACCCCAATCAATCACAGCATTTGTGCAAAAATGTACTTCAAGACATTCAATCATCAGCCAGCCTGTGTTACACTCACATGTTACTCGAACACGATTGCGAATGTCGAACACCACTGTGTCTGACACCGGGATGCTCAATTTTTTCCATGATTTCCTAGTATTTGGAGAGTCATATCCTCATATGTATGTGTGGATATGCATTGGACATCACTAATTAAGGAAAAATGAAGAGTAAAAACAACATACAAAACTCCCTATTGTTATTATGAGTATCTTATGTCTCACTTGGAAAAATTATTTAAAATAAATAGACCATGCTTTAGGAGCAAAAACACAGTATGGGGAACAAGAACAAGGATTAGAATTACAGCACACTAAGACAAACAGGTCAACGAATCTGGAATAACAAATACCAACACTCCAAAAGGTAACATGACCTGGCCTGCCACAGGCTCTACAAGGCTACAAGCACATATTACACATCATGTACCCCATTCAGTGGCACTTTAGAATAAATGTCTATGAATGTGAATGTCACAAGATGATAAGACCTTTCTTCAAATGGGGCAAGCACAAACAATAAAGTAAAGGACTTAATGGGAGATTACAAACATGAAGCATTTACCTATCTAAGCATAAGTGCTTTAACATTTTATGGGATAAATTATCATTCATTTTAAAAGGTGTGGTCTAAACCTCTTTTCCACCAGAGGAGCATGCCAATAGCATAACTTTCCATTTTATGTTTAATGTGCCATAAAAATGGCCAGGTTGCAAAGAAGATTTGGAGTAGCTCTCAGTTTTCGAGTAAAGACAACAACAACAACAACAACAACAACAAAACCCTATTCCCATATGCAATAGGGTAAAGGGGAGGTAGGGTAGTAGGTTGCCCCCAACGCATGGTTGAGAACAACTTCCGTGGAAGACCTCCGGCAGTCAGAAAATTAAAAATAAAGATAAAATGCAATGCATGTATAAATAAATAAATACATATTTGAACAGTCTTCATATGCGCTTCTGTAATGGAAAGTAATCCCTGCTAATAAATCTCTGCATAATAATCTCTGCATATAGATAGAAACGCAAGACCCGACTAAAATTAAAAAGAGATAACATGAAGAGAATGATACACAGAAGTCAACGATAGCAAGTTACGAGAAGGAATAAAGTCAAATGGGCTAAAACCTAAACTAAGGCAACACTAATCCGCTACCCTAGTTCTAAGCCTTCATTAATTCCAATGACAGAAACATATAAAAAGTAGAAGTCATAGAAATTACAACAAAGGCATTAAAAGAAGACAGAAATGTTACACCCTATGGATGTGACTCGCACTAATCGGCTACCCTGGTCTTAAGTCTCCATACTTTCCTATCAGAGGTCATGTTCTCGGTAAGGGCTAAATCCTTCAAATCAGATCTCAAGCAGTCTTCCCACTTTTGAGTAAAGACAAGAAAAAAAGAATATTCTACATTTGTTTTAGTTAAGATTTAGAAAGCATCGCTAACAAGATGTTCAAGCAAATATGCTAAAGTACAAATTGAAGAAGTGCAAATGCCATAAGCCCATAACCCACATCTAATATTGGTCGTACAGCTATAATGTCCTTGTTCATAGTTTATACTTGATGATGGGTTCTCTACATCTATTTTTTGTACTGTTTTATAGACAACCAAAAGATAACAGCACATAAAATAATGCAAGGAAATCTAGTTAAGACACACATGTAGAGAGAGAAAGAGCGTCCAGAAAACAGTCTTGCCTTCATTGAACATTTTGGGTGTCATTGGATTTGACACTTTCGATCCATCTCTTTCCCACCTCCACTGGCCATCTGATTTTGGAGCTAGATATGGTTGATCCCTTTCAGGGGTAAATGCTTCTAGTTGTCCTTGAAATTGACCAGGCTTAACCTCCATCCTCTGTGCAGGTACATGCTGCATCTGAGCAGAAGTATATGCATTCCCACCGGAGTCCACATATTGCCCCTGTCGTCTCATCAGTCTTACTTTGAAACAAGCTTTAAATATTGAACCTAGCAAGAATGAAAGCAACCACAAACAAAATCGCATGACACATTATTTCAAAAGAAACTGATATAAAACAGTATTAAGTCATTGCATAAGGAGGGGATAAATTTTAAGTTTAATTACTAGAAAGAACCCCCCCCCCCAAACCACAAAATACACATATCAATAATACAGCTCATTACTAGTTAGCAAGAAATTTCAAATTTCAGCTAACTACCAAAAGATTGAAACTTCACACTGAAATCCGTGAGCGTCTACTACAAATATTAAGTTCCCACAACAAAGCATACAAGCCACGTGCTAATACTATTGTGATTGGAAAAAGAAAAGTCAAATATAGCAGAGTGATGCAGAGAGCAAATGACAAATTCTCATAAGTTTAGGGTTTCGAAGATTACCTTATTTATTTGATTTTCCGGTCTGTCGGGAGCTTCAAGGCGATAGAAAGATTAAGTCAGGGACTGGCCGATGAGCATAGGGAAATGGATAAAATGAGAAGAAGAGAAAGGCGAGGCTTCTGTGGCGGCGGAAATGCGTGAAAAGGACTTCAGAGCGGGTCGGAAGATTTTAACCCTTAGCTTGGATCGAGAAGGTAAAGTAAAAGAGAGATGTTTTTTTTTGGGTTATCTACTTCAAATAATACTCACATTTATGCTGAAGTTTATATTTAACTGTAATTATGTTATTTTTTTTGTTAATCTATTAATGATAAAATGATATCATAGCTTTGCATTGTGACAGTGATGATGTAGTTCTCTTATTAAAATGATGTATTTTTAATGTAATTGTTTTGATGTTTAAAAAAATTCAAAACGATATCGTTTTATTAGAATCTTTTAATGAAAAAAATGATTTTAATGAGATTCAATCAAAACGACGTC